TATTTTTTTATAATTCCTCAAATCAGTATTTTATTATTTAATCAAAAGGATTAAATGATTATTTAAAATAATAATATAAATAATATATAAAATATAATTATATAAGAATTATATGAAAATATTTTAACTTGAAAAATAAAATAACATCGAAATGTCACGTTATTCTCTTATTAATGCTATAATAAAATATTTAAATCTCTCTCTGCTTATGTTAAAATAAAATACATAAATGACGGGATGCTTATTTGCTTGTTTTAAAAGAAAATTTTCTTAGAAATTAATTATATAGAAATAATTATTTAAATAAATATATATAATATATAATGATATAAAAATTATATTCAGGAATTACAATCTTGAAAAGACTCAAATAAAAAATGTCATGTGATTCTCATATTAATGACAAAATATCTCCCTGCATCTCCCTTCATTTCAAAAACTCTGTAACAGTTATGATTGGATAATATTAGATATAAAACTGACTCATATAATCACAAGGCAGGATTTGTTTGCACAGGTAAAATCTGATTACGCCCTCTGGGTCACTCGGGATTAATCTGGCCTCTCTCCACAAACTCAGTTAATAAAAGAACATGAGCGGTCATGCTCATAATGGAACTATGAGGCCAGACATTTAGAGATTATTAATAAGCTTCACTAAAGGAATTTGCGAAAGGATGGATTTTACAGTAATAAACAAAACATTCATGTTACTGATTGCACTTTAAACATTCAGAAAGTTTGTCCATTGCGCCTCCATGCGGACGGTGTATGGAAGAAAGTTGACGCCTACATCTCCCAGAAGTACTCGCGCGTGACGTCACGGCCGCAGCAACAGGAAGTGTTCCAACTGAGCCGTTTCTGTAAGATAAAGTAAGCTTTTCTATTCATTTAAAATTATTCACGGTTTTATTTGGAAATATAATAAAACAAAAAGTGTTTCTAGATTCATATTTATTTACACGATCTAGTATTTTATTAAAACAATTAACGTTAGCGTATTTATTTTCTTAGAAGCTAATGCTAGGCTTCTACCAAAACATTTGACACCTACCTTTCAGTATTTCTGAAATCAAGCCATATAAGTTACGTTAACGTGTATAAATAAGCCACAACATAACAGTAGTTGCAGCAAATCAGCTTTCCACTGATCTAAGCATTTGTAGAATTTAAGATTGTGTATTTATGAAAGAAATCATGACTTAAGTCACAGTCCAAGTGTTTCTTGTGTTCTTCAGGAATGACCTGTACACTGGAGAAGGTGCTGGCTGATGCCAAATCACTGGTAGAGCGGCTCCGGGATCATGACAGTGCTGCTGAGATCCTGATCGAACAAACCATGCTGCTGAACAAGAGAGTGGAGGCCATGAAACAGGTATCAGTGTTTGTTCTCAGTCTGCCTAATGGGGATGAGAGTTGTTGTACTCATATTTCTTGTTCTTTCAGTACCAGGAAGAGATTGAGGTGTTGAACCAGGTGGCGAGACACCGGCCGCGCTCCACGTTGGTCATGGGCATCCAGCAGGAAAACCGGCAAATACGGGAACTTCAGCAAGAAAACAAAGGTGTTAGGAGGGTTTGCAATTAGAAGCTGTCACTGGATGTCATTTGAGGGCTGTTTTAAATCCAAATCCGCACATTTGTCTCGGCAGAGCTGCGCACATCACTGGAGGAGCATCAGTCTGCGCTGGAGCTCATCATGAACAAATACAGAGAGCAGGTGTTTCGCCTTCTGATGGCCAGCAAGAGAGACGATCCTGCTATTGTCACCCAGCTCAGAGAACAGCACACTAATGTCAGTCTTACAGACGGTTTTTATGAGATTCCCTCTAATTCTGGTGTCCAAATAGTCATTCACTGTGTTTATGTCGCAGGAGATGCAGGCGCACATTGAGAAAATAAACGAAATGGCCACAGTGATGAGGAAAGCCATCGAGGTGGATGAAGGGCGACTGTGTGAGGATGAGGAGAGAATGAAACGTCTGGAGGTCAGACACACTAAATATACCACATTGAATTCGTTATTAAAATATATTGCAAACAATGGCACAAAATCAATGTAAGAAAGATGAAAATAAACAGTTATATTAGGGTGATATCACTTGAAGGCTTAATGCATGATCAGCACTTAAAAATTGTAGTCTGTTACTGATTACAAATTACAAGAAGAAAATTGTAGTTAGTAACATTATCTATTAGATTACATATTTTAGGTAATGTAATCCGACTATGCTTTCATTACCTTTGACTTAACTTGTTTAACACATAGATTTAAAAGTCTTGCGTCATATTGATACAAAAATACATAGATAAATTAAATATATTCCATTCTGCGTTAGCAACAGTGCATTAAACATTCATTTATGTAAGGGTTTCCCAAACTGTGGTTTGCTAAGGATAAAAGCTAATAATTAATTAAATCATATAAATGTACAATTAAAATAAATAATAAAAAAATAAAAACAATCAGATACAACACTTATTAAAATAATATATTTTATATTTATAGAATTTTATACAGTATATATTTTGTAATTTTATACATTATACCATTTTTATATATTAATAAAAATATTTTATATAATAAAAAAAAAATATATATATATGCATATTTTT